CCAACTTTATTGCAAAGGGGAAAGGTGATGCTCACAGAAATTATATAACTTGTCCAAAGTCATAGAGTAAATGAGAGAGCCATGATTGGAATGAGATCTAATTTTGCAAGCCAAGATCTCAATGACTACACTATATGACATTTGCATATTTTTTCGAATTGATAAACTAACAAGTCTCAATTTTCCTAGGCCAAGACCCATGTTTCTTCCACTGTCTCACTGCATATCCCCTTGTGATTTAATCTACAACAATTTTTAGTGCCATTTGCTTTCTTCATAATTGTGTGTCTTGCCTCTGCAATTAGATTCCAAGTCTGGCCACATAGGGGTCCTATCTTAAAAATGGAGTTAACATAACTCTTTGAATGAGCTTAGTGACATGATTAAAGTAGGTAGTGACACAACCTTATTCAAATGTATTGAATGAGATGAAGGAATAGTACATTACAAAGCAAGAAAAGAAGTCAGGAATGACACAAATACTATAATAGAAAGTGCCCTGGAGTTTTCAACCACAGGTAAAATCATTTCCCTTTCTTAAGATAAGTTGATTTCCTAAACACTCAGCAATGTGGGTGTCAGCGACAAAAAAAGAAAAGCCTTTGTGGAGGTCACAGAAGAGGAAAGGAAGGAGAAACGCAGTGAAGACAAACTTTACCTATCTCTCAATTTCTGTTTCTACAAAAAATTGTGCAAATGATTACAAGACAGGACAAACGCAGAATAATTGTACAGAAGACAAAGCAGTCCAGGACCTGAAGATTGAAACAATGCAAAAAACCTCCCTTATTTCTTATTCACATTTCTTTAACAATGTTTAAAACTTGCATAACAAATGGCCAGATTATTTTAAGATGTGATAATTACATTGCCTTTGTTTCCTTGTTATGAAAAAAACAAAATAACATTATTGAGCACTCATATAATCTATACTATTGTACAATTCAAATATTTTTTTTTTTTACCAACTATTACTCCTTTTTTTTGAAGTCATTAGCAAGGGAAAGGATTGCCAATCATGCAACTTGCTTATAACTGGTAGCTGTCATACAAAAGACAATCTAGCTTAAAATTCAATCATAAAGATAAAAGCCAAAAGCTTTTCCCTCCCTATAGTTAATGTGCTGTTCTTGGGCAATCTTTTCTCAGAAATCAGTATTTAAAAATACACATCATATCTTGTTCACTTTATTTGCTAATAACTCACAATATGTGTACACTTTTCACTTAGCTGACCATGTCTTTCTCCATGAATATTCAAGTAGACTACTCATCCCATAATAAGAAGTCCTCAGCCTTTAGAAATATTCTGAAAAATATTTTGACTTTCAACAAATAACCATTGTACTCAGGTTTACCGAGAATATATCTTTCCTCTTTGCCTCAGAAAGCACAGGCTTTGGGGACAGTCTTTAGGGCATAGAAACTGTTTTCCTACATAGCTATCGGCAGACAGAGGTTTTTACTTACAACAGCACCCTACCTACCCAAACATTCAGTGGCAAAATAGAAACATACCTACCGCCTATGCTTGGTTGGTTATGCCTTCCCTCGCATTTCAAGAGTTTTTATTCCATTAATGTATTTAGTTCAGCAAGTATTTAGCGGCTGCCTACTAGTTCCAAGCCACTTCAGCGTAGGCAGGGATGACTAGACCTGGACTCTTCCTTAAAGAACACCCCAGAGAGATAAAGGACCATTAAAAAAAGAGAGAGAGGAATAATGACATAGAAGGAATGGATAGTCATCATGTTAGTAAACCCAGATATTTTTCCATAAAATGATGAATTTGAAAATCTGACATAGGAAGGCAAAATAGAGCTAGAAGGATGACCCTGAAGTGACCATACTGAACACCATTGTAGAAAGTCTGTGATCGCTTTCTCTTTCTTAAATCCGTTTATCTGAAAGCCTCTCAGAAATCTGAACGTTATGTGTTAGAGCAGGACTATTAAATATATATATATATATATTTTAAAAGATAGGGATAAAGAGGAACAAAGAGAAAAGGGGTGAGCGAGAGAAAGAGGAGAGAGAACAGCAATTCACATGTTAATCATTTTAGAAAAATACAAGATTAATAAGGTAGCAGAATTTTTATATATTATGCTGTAAAAATATTAATATATTCC